ACTTTACGACCAGTGTACCATCTTCTGACCATGTCCATCCCTTTATGACCACAGTGTACCATCTTCTGACCATGTCCATCCCTTTGACCACAGTGTACCATCTTCTGACCATGTCCATCCCTTTATGACCATAGTGTACCATCTTCAGACCATGTCCATCCCTTTGACCACAGTGTACCATCATCTGACCATGTCCATACCTACATGACCACAGTGTACCATCTTCTGACCATGTCCATCCCTTTATGACCACAGTGTACCATCTTCTGACCATGTCCATCACTTAATGACCACAGTGCACCTTCTTCTGACCATGCCCACCCCTTTACGACCAGTGTACCATCTTCTGACCATGTCCATCCCTTTATGACCACAGTGTACCATCTTCTGACCATGTCCATCCCTTTGACCACAGTGTACCATCTTCTGACCATGTCCATCCCTTTGACCACAGTGTACCATCTTCTGATGGCTACTTCCAGCAGGATAACGCTACATGTCATAAAGCGTGAATCATCTGGTTTCTTGAACATGACAATGTGTTCACTGTACTGGAATGGCTCCACAGTCACCAGATCTCARTCCAGTAGACCTTTGGGATGTGGTGGAACAGGAGATTCACATCATGGATGTGCAGCTGACAAATCTGCAACAACTGTGTGATGTCATCATGTAAATATGGACCAGACAGTCTGAGGCTACACCTGCTAAATATGAAACAGGCCACCTCATTGTTTTCTTTCAAATCATTACTTAAAGTTACTTCTATAAGGGTTTTAACATTTATTTTTTTGTTTAAATTTTGTGTTTCAGATTGTGTTTTATGATATTTTAACTGATTTCTGAATGAAAAGCACTTTGTAACATTTGTTTAAACAGCTGCGACACAAATAAATGAAATATTAAGTGTAGCATGACTTGTTTCCCTCCAGGTCATTACGGACACGAGAACCTGCGTGTCGGCGGTGCGGACATRCACAACTTCATCTCCTCGGGCTTCGTCACGCTCGGACGCGGCCACTTGAAAGGTATAGTGTGTTTTTTTTTCCTCTCTCTGCAGTGCAGATTAATGATGACTTCACTCACAGCCACCGTGTCGTGCTGTCGTCCTCTTCCTGCCAAATGACTGAGCTCAGGACTGTGCTGATAAAAAAAAAGAAAAGAAAGAAAGCGGTTGAAGAATGTGACTTTTGTTTCAGCTCAGTGGAAGTTGGACATCACAACTCCGWGTGGCTTGAAGTGACATCTTGCAAAGTTTTTTTTCCTCCCTGATCAAATCCACACGTGTAAAGACAAAGTAACACTTCCACACTCTGTAGGCAGCTGGTGTGAAGGCAGCACGCTGCACTCGTACACGGCTCTGCTTTTGTTCGTCCCTCTGAATGAATGAGAGGCGGGCTGGGAGCCGGGCCTAAACACCAGGCTTCTTGTGTTTCTACAGCGCAGCAGTCCATCGACGAGTCGGGACAGATGTCCTGGCAGGGGGACCTGGACGTCCCCATGTCTTACGGTACGTGCTGCCTGCTTTCTGCTCACCTGACACACACACACACACACACACACACACACACACACACACACACACAGTGATCAGCTGAGTTCAGAGCCGGCTCTTGGCATAGGCAAACTAGGCGGTCGCCTAGAGCATAGCAGCAACTTCCTGATAACTTCTCTCCATTCTCCAGAAATGTGTCCCTGTGAGTTTACTTCCTGTTTACTACTTCCTGTTTACCACAGCCACGCTCCTGTCAGGTTAAGACTTGTTTTCCCTCCAGAGGATAAACTGGACGGATTTGATCCGTCAGGTTTCAGTTTCCTGAGGATCTGAGGTCTCCTCACGTATCACTGCCCTGATTACAGACGTGTGTCTCCTTAAAGCGGAGGTCTTGTCAGCCTCGTCTGTCGTTCGTGTCTGAGTTTAACATGGAGCTGTTGGCACCCCCACCACACACACACACACACACACACACAGCTCCTGGCAGAGGAAGGAGACGGACAGATGTGCACTGTGTCACTGAGGACTGCTGCTCCACATCTGCTCCATGAGAACATCCTGAGACTGCAGGGCTCGTCTGATCCGACAGATTCAAAAACAAACATAAAACTAGATTTATTTACTCTATAATATGTTTCTTACATTTTTAAATCTAAATTATTTTCCTTCTCTGTGCACTGCTCTCTGACTGTAACTGTTTTTATTTCAGTTTATGCTTCGTTTTTTTCACGTCTCAATCTTTTTTCACTTCTTCCCTCCTTTTTGTTCCTCTTTTCATCTCGTTTGTTTCTCCTAATTTTGTTTTTGAAAACCTTTATTTTAAACCCCCCCCCCACACACGCACACACACACACACATATGCAAAATGGGTGTCAAGTTGTATTTTGTACTGTGTCTTTTTTYCCCATGATTCTGGTCGTCTGTATCCGTGGTTCTTACAATAGACCCCATATTTAAAAGTTTCAGATTTTATTTTATTTTACTTTTTTTTTTTTTAACTCTGATGAAGGTCCATCCATCAGGCTCACCAATGAGCCCCCCCCCGGACCCCCATGTATGTGGGGGTCATACATGCCATCACAATAATATATCTAGTTTCTAACCCTGTTGTCTC